TACATAGTATGCTCGTTAACAGCCCCGTCCCCAAAATACACCCAACATTGATGATCCTTGATAGATAAATACACCCCTTTTATAATCGCTCCTTGAATAAATGTTGGTTGTCTCCTATAACTATGGACACGTTGGCACAAAAAAACTGTTTCGCTTTACAGCTGTCCGTTTTTGATGAAATATATCACACAATTTTATTTGAGCTACCGAAAGGAAATCTAAAGCAGCAGTGAAAGTATCGGACTACCCGGTCAATTTTTTTTCCTAATCCTTGCAAGGTACCAAAACATGTTCAGCTGTTCAGTTGAAAGACAATATGTGATAACAGGTCAGGTAGTATGAAGGCATAATAGTCCAATATCTACCCACCACTCAGCCAGCCTCAATGTTGGAGCGTATGCAATGTCAAGTTTCCAGACTTGTCAAATTTCAGTTTTGAAAATCAGCGAGTTTATTTGAAAATTATGAGGAAATGTTGCGCTGCTATTGATCTCTAACATGGGCAGTGGAGCCCAAGAAATCAGGGGGGGATGGAGATCCTTTTTCAATTTCTTAGACTTCTGGTACCATGGGTTATGTGTATCTCAAGGGCGACAGGTGGATCCGGAATTCATTACCTGATCTGGCCCGTGACCCTTAGAACATTTTTGTTCGTCACGCCCTCTAGTTCTTCGGCAACGCCTAACTGGAAACACATCTGTTACAGTACTCTGTAACAAACACTTTTTGCCGGTTGCCGTACCATTCAATCAACTTTTGATGATTCACATCTTTTTTACGGTATTAAACGGAGAATCACTGCTAACCTTTCGACAAAAACTACTGGGTTTCATAGTTTGAATAGAGTTAGTCTGTGACTGTAGAAAAGAAATGATGATTATGAACTGGAATCTCAAAGATAAATATGGCACCTCTTATACTTTTAGAAAAGAGGATTTTTGCTAGGATTCAGAGAAGCTAATAGATCGAAAAAACGAAAAATTTATCGTAGTAATGTGTTATTGTAGTATGTTGTAGTATGAGTCCTAGGTTTGGTGCGTGTGAGCGTGAGAAGCGTCATAAGAGTGTCTACGCAAAATGCTTGGAAGTCTAGAACAGTTGTATTACCCTATGGGTATATATCCCTATTCTACTAGGCCGATACGCCAAAGAGAAAGAAGTAGTACAATTGACTTGTTGCCTGTATAGGAAGATAGAAAAAAGCTCGGCATCTGATGGAAGCTTTTCATTATTTAAGTACATATATTCATCACGCAAAAGCCCAAGGTGATGACATATGGTTTAAAGAAAAATACCAGAAACGTAACAGTAGGGTTTCTGTGGCCCGCTTGTAGCGTCGTCTTTTTGCTTTCCAGAATAGTTCTAGGAAAGATGTACGTACAGAACTTCTAATAACTGGCGGCAGGAAATCCATTTTGGGGGAGACTCGGCGACTCCGATTTGAGTTTCTTCACCCTCCCAAGCCCTTCCCAAATTCAACTTTTTGCATGTCCCCAGTCCTTTTCTGTAAAAAACTGATGGGAATGGGCGTGTGGGGTTGTGAATATACTCCCTTTTTGAATTTATCAGCTTGTCAAGAGCAGAGTTTGGAATAGCCAATAGGAATACATCTCTAGTCACATGAACGTAATGAAGTCGTGCCATGCACAGCGACTTCGATGCGGAGAGTGAGGCGATTAGAATTAGGACCCTAAGGCTGCAATGGAATATTTCACTACCAGCCGCACAGGTAATTATGCAATTAGAGCAAAGAAAAACTTTTAGCTCAAGCATTTGAATGAAATTAGCCTTTCCAACAACAATTTTAACTTTAT